TCCCTCCATAGAGTGGAATGCAACTAGAGATGGTTAATCTACTGATAAAGGTGACGGCATTTCTACACAGTAGCTCTCTCAGCTGTATCTGATTTATACTGATGATGCTGCTCCCTTTTTTCCACATGCTGTGCCACCACAAATTGGTACAAGGAGGCAGCAACAGCACAGACAGAATGGGAGCATCTCCAAGGATGGAGCTTGCACAAACTCTCTTGGCAACCCATGACAGTGTTTCACTGCCCTTACAGTAAAAAGTCTTTCTTACATTTAAATGGACTTCTCTGTGCTTCATTTTGTACCTGTTCTCTCTTGTCCCACCGAGCCCTACTGAGAAAAGCCTGGCTCCATTTCATTTACTCCCTCCCTCGTTGTGTATTTATCCACATGGATACTGTGTTCAACTCTGGAGTCCTCAGCACAGGAATGACATGGCTGCAAAAATCAGAGGGGTGGAGCACCTCTGCTATGTGGAAAGGCTGAGAGAGTTGGGGTTGTTCAGCCTGGAGAAGAGGCAGACCCTTCCAACCCAAACTACTCTATGATTTTATGATAAGACACCCCTGAACCTCCTGCTCTCCAGGCTGCACAATCCCATCTCTCTCAGCTTCTCTTCCCAGGATAGATGCTCCAACCCTTTAACCATCTTCATGATCCTTCACTGGACTCTAGTATGTACATGTCTCTCTTGTACTCGGGAACCTGGAGCTAGATGCAGACCCCATACATGTCACAAGGGCTGAGCAGAGAAGAGTAAACACCTCCCTCAACCTGCTGGCACCACTCTGCCTAATAAGCCCAAGATGCCAGTGGCGACCTTTGCCAGAGAGGCACATTACTGGCTCATGGTCAGCTGGGTGTCCAGTGGGACCCCCAGGGCCTTTTCTGTCAAGATCCTTGGCAGAATGTCAGTCCCCAGCCTGCTCTGGTGCCTGAGGCTGTTCCTCCACAGGGGCAGGACTCTGCACTTCCCTCTGCTGAGCTTCATGAGATTCCTGACCAGCACATTTCTCCAGCCTCTACAGATCCCTCTGAATGGTAGCACAACCATCTGGTCTGTCAACAACTCCTCCCAGTTTTGTATCCAAGACCTAAAAGAAAAGTCAGGTGGAACAGCACAGCTCATGGAAAAACTGCTTCCCACTCACTACCTTTCCAGGAAGGTTAAAAACTCACCTGTGAACATTTGCTACATTTTAAAACTGTTAGTCTTTGAACATATTTTAGGCAAAAAGAGAAGAACCAAATTATTCTAAAAGTCTGATGATGAGCAGAAGGATACAACAATGCAGATCCAGTTAAACAGGAGCATGAACATGTAATCTGCTGGCCTTCCATCAAAAGCCCCTGTAAATAAAGAGGATTGTTAGGAAAGGCTCTGAAATCTCAATACGGAATTAAGACTTCTTTTTACTTTCAGGACTCTTAAGAAAAGCTCAGTTAATAACAGTTGCCCTACATGCAGTTTGTGGTTTATGGTTTTTATTTTTTAAATGTTAAAAGGCCTTATAATAGAACAACCTACAGGACTGAAAAATAAGACATCCAAACTATTGATTTAAGTGCACACACAGCAGCTCTACTTAAAAAACACCACACTAACTCTGGAGATAAGTGGTTTTAACTTCACAAGACTTGAAAAATGGAGTTCAATCCCATCATTCATAAGAAGCTGCCAATTAGAAGCATACAATAAGGAAATGTACTTGCACAGCAAAAGCAGAGAAACCAAGTTTAGTGATCGAGTCACCTGAAAACCAGTCCTTACTTAGGCAGATTGCATCCCCTTTGCATCACCTAGTCAGACTCAAGACAGACGACACTTCTTACACTCCAGAAAAACCGACATCCAAAAGGAAGGTACACCTGTGCAGCACATTCTGTTCCTCCTTCTAAGCTGAACTTCCTGCCTAATTTCCCATTTCAAACATGTAAATTTTTTTTTTCAGGACAATGAAAACAAAAAAGTAGAGTAACATTCCCTGCAGATACGACTAACTTAAATTCTCTTTAGAAGTCCAGTTGAATTTGGAATCTGGTAGAGAGGAGAGTTAAAAACCAAAACCCCAAACAGCTCCTTGCAAACATGAAAATCGTGAGCCCTCACTCTTGCAAATGATGGTAAAAGGCTGGCACAGACTTCAGCATTTGAATGAGACTTCTATCATCTTTCACATGGCTCCATGCAGGCAGGGAAAGCCTGAGAATATTGCTGAAACAGACCCAAACCACAGCAACAAACAGTGTGCCATGATCAATCTGAATTACATGCTAATAATTAAACATCAAAATGTCTAGAAACAAGGCCACTGCTTAGGCACTACTTAGCTTCCTGGAACTATTTTACACGTGCCCCAAAATTTAAAGAAACAAAATATATTCTTAAGCGCTAGCTTTTTAGAATAACTAGAGTAACTCAGCCTATGTAAAACCAAATTGATGTTTTAGTCATTTTAAATTTATTATTTATATAATTTATTTATGCAAGTTACATAACAAGAAAAAAATCAAACCCTCTGAAAAAATCTTTTGGAAAGTTTTAAATTTGGAGAACTACATAAACTGGAGTTTTCTCCTTACTGTTGCCATACAACAAGTAGAAACAAACTAAGAGGGGAAGCTGACTAGCCCTGTAGAAACTCAAGCACAGTAATACCTCCAGAATAGGAAGAAATCAATGCAAATATTATTTATTCCCTTGAAGTTTTTAAACTTCTCGTTATCTAGGAGATTACTAACAAGAATATTAGACAAACTATTTAAGTTGACCTTCCAATGAATATCTAAGAAAACTGAGATACAGACTGCCAAAAAGCTCAGCACAAGGATGAGGTGAGCTCCAGCCCACTGGGTCCTTCAGCAGGGCCTGGATGTAACACAGTCATTGGGAGCTGCAGATGATTCATCTCGTCACTTGTACTGCTGAGGGGCAAACTCTGCGGACTCTGCTTTCTCTGTTGATATTTGTTATGTTCTTCTCCAACAGAAACAAAGTACAAACACATCAATCTCCTTTTCCTCAGGATGCTAGAGGTCAGCTTATTAGGAAAGCACAAACACAGTACAAAACCATACGTATATTTCTGATACCGATATTTGAAGCCAGAGTGCAACACCAAGATATGCTAAAAACCCACATGCAACCCTGAAAATAGAAGTTTCACTTCTGCAGTTTCACAGACAAAAAGAGGCATAGACCTACAGTGATTTCCACCTGGAAACATTATCAGCAACTTCTACACCTCCCACTTTCAGAAGGATTCTTTTTCGTAGAGACAAAGGACCAATCTAACCAAGAATGTCATTTATACCCATAAAAATAACTAATTCAAAAGAAATGTATTGGTTCAAACAACAACACAGGTGATTTCCCAGTTTCAAAACCTACATGTGTCGCACAGCAG